GTATTTTTTATTATTTTTCCTTATTTACCCTCTATTATATTATTTTCTTCCCTTAAATAACTCTGGATTCCGTTAGTATAAACTTTAGTAACGGAATATTCTGTTAACTATTTATTATTCTTAACTTACTCATTAGTTTCTATAAGAAAGGTCTTAGGTTCGAACCTCATCACAATCAGAGTTGGCATAATTGTTAAATATATACTACGAATATGTTAACATATAAAGGGTATTAAAAAAATAAATACATTATAAAATTTAACATAAACTTTTGTCAAATAATTAGCCCGACTAAATACAAAACATTCAAAGTTGAACATCAAAGATTATAAATAATGAACTTCAAAAATCATTTTCTTGCATTTTAAAAAAAAAACTTAATAAACAAATTTAGGTTAAGTTTTTTTTTTTTTTCGTAGTATAATTAATCTTCGTTTGATTATTTAGAACAAAACTAAATATTTCAATTATGCCTTTTGCATTATTGGAATGGTTTAGGTCATTATGGTATTAATATTTTTTTTGTATGTCTTTTTATAACGGTACAATTGTACATTACTTTACAAATATTATACTATTATTTTTTTATTGGAAAAAATTGTTCTTATTACATCATTGTCAGACCCGCGCGAACTAATTACAAAGTTGTTGATCAAAAATACAATTACACCTGGATTCTAAAACGATAGGACAATTTTCCAAAGAATTGACAATGTTACATCTCACTGGCTCAAATTGAACAAGTTTACACATCATTCTTAAAATTTTATCAATGTATGAAAGCTTCTAAAAAAAATTGAGAAAAGGGTCAAATAGGTCCCTAAACTTTACCTCAAAGTTCAATTAGCCACCTAAACTTTAAAAAAGTGCAATTAAACCCTCAAACATGTCAAATTGGGTCAATGAAGCCCAAAAAATGAAAAATGACCTGTTATTACAGGTCATTTCAATTCCGGCGACAGATTCCAGCCAACGGTGAAAAAATTCGATCACCGGCGACAAAATTTGGCCATCCGGTCGTTTTCTCCGGCTGTCTTCTGCATTGGAAAAGACTACCAGATATCCGGTCAGTGCGGCATAGAGTTAGGTTCTGGTGCGGTAGTGTCCTTAGGTGCGACGGTGCGGCGTCACCAATTGTTCAACAAATATAAACCATCAACGTTAGGAAAATACACCACAAAAATACACATAAATTAGGTACGCATCACCATAAACACACCATTAGGCGTGAGTAAAAACACCATACAGTGTTCGAAAATACACCATTGGGGTGTGGTGAGTTATATGGTGTATTTGTTGGGTCTGTTGTGTATTCTGTGATGTTTTTTTTTTTTTTTTTTTTTTTGGCATTTCATTGTGGTGCATTTCCCTTACACTGTTGGTGCATGTTGATAACATTGTTGGTGTCTTCTGTAACCCCGCCGCACCGCCGCATGGGAAGTGTCTGCCGCACGAGAACTTTTTCCTATATATATATATATATATATATGTGTGTGTGTGTGTGTGTGTGTGTGTGGTCGTTTTATTAAAAATGGGGGCCTTGTCTAAAAGTTTAATTTGGACCTTCATTGTTTTTGTTCCGATTTTAATTGGACCTTCATTCTAAGCGAGCTCTCTACCATATGAGCGACATCCCCATAATCATAAATGCTTCATTAAATATCTATAATTTAGAAAACAAAAAGCATTTGGAAATTAAAATATTATAAGATTTTATTCAACACTCGACTTTGAAAATTAAAATAGTATACGATTCAATTCAGAATTAATTTACACTATGTAAAGATTGCAGATTATATTCAGATTGGAGATGTGGGGTATCAATCCTCGTGCCTCTCGCATGCAAAGCGAGCGCTCTACCATATGAGCTACATCTCCATAATGAAAAATGCTTCATTAAATATCTATAATTTAGAAAACAAAAAACATTTGAAAATTAAAATATTATACAATTCGATTTAACAGTCGACCTTTTTGCACTGTATAAAACATGCAGATTACGTTAGGATTAGGGATACAGGGTATCAATCCCTGTACTTCTAACATGCTAAGAAGTAGCTCTACCATCTAAACTACATCCCCATAATTGAAAATGCTTCATTAAATATTTATAATTTAGAAAGCTACATCCCCATAGTTGAAAACGCTTCATTAAATATCTACAATTTTAAAAACAAAAAGCATTTGCCAATTAAAATAGTACACGATTTGATTCAACACTCTTCACTGTGTAAAGCTTGGAGATGCATTTATGTCTCCAATTGAAATAGTACACGATTTGATTCAACACTCGCTTGGAAATTACATTAGGATTGGAGATGCAGGGTATCGATCCCCATACCCCTCCTCTCGCATGCTAAGCGAGCACTATACCATTTATGCTACATCCCCATAATGATAAATATGACATTAAATTTCTATAACTTTGAAAATTAAAATAGTATAGGATTCGATTCAGAACTCGACATTTTAATAACAAATTTGGACCATGTAAAGCTTGCAAATTACATTGGAATTGGAGATGCAGGGTACCAATCCCTGTACCTCTCACATGCGAAGCGAGCGCTCTACCATATGAGCTACATCCCCATAATAAGAAATGTTTTATTACATATCTATAATTTAGAAAACAAAAAAAAGCATTTAAAAATTAAAATATTATATGATTTGATTCAACACTTGACTTTGAAAATTAAAATAGTATAGGATTCAATTCAGAACTCAACATTTTCGTAACAAATTTGGACCTTGATAAGTCACACCTAGAAGGTCGAGCGATCCTCTCACCGACTTTAGATGTCGTTGATCAAATTAATCAGTACATGTGCGACATGAACACTGCAGAAGGTCGAACATATTTAAGTTGTTACTCTTGGTGCAGCTGTTATGTTATTGCGGAACATAGACCGCTCTCTTGGTCTTTGCAACGGTACGCGCCTCATCGTCACAAGATTGACAGATTACATTGTCGAAGCAAGAATACGCCTCATCGTCACAAGATTGGCAGATTACATTGTCAAAACAAGAATAGTTAATGAGACACATCAATGAACCCTTCAGGTGTACGTGACACATCAATGAACCCTTCAGGTGTACGTGAGACACATCAATGAACCCTTCAGGTGTACGTGGCTATTTCCCGAGTCACCATCATGATGGCCTGAAGGTTTTAACTCTAGACGGGGATGGACAAAATTTTGTCAAACTAGTGATATTATGTTTTTTTTTTTTTTTTTTTTCTGAAAGCCAAATGATATTAAAATTGGAGATGCAGGGTATCAATCCCCGTACTTCTCGCATGCAAAGCAAGCGCTCTACCATATGAGCTACATCCCCATATTTTCTTTTTATACAAAGATGACAAAATTGCTATATATCTACATAAAAATATATATCTTCCATACAAATAATTTATATAAATGAGTTGTTAGACAACGAGCTAATTAGCCTAATTGATACAAATCCTAAACACTGATATATAAAATCTCTAAAGTTTCAGCACCGGATGCATATATCTACACGTTAGCTATTAATTGGACAATTATTTACTCGAATTCAAGCAATGATAACATCAGAAAATATAATCGATCCAACTCAATTCTTCAATTACACTATATAATATTTCATGTTATAATTTATACAATTGTATATCGATCCAAATATTCTTAAAATATTATAACAAATCCATTTCGTGCAACGCACGGGTGAATATACTAGTTTAATATAATTTAATAAGAGTAAAATAGAGTACTAACTATGCCAACTTTGATTGGGATGAAGTTCGAACCTAAGATCTTTCTTATTGAAATCAATGAGTAAGTTAATGGTGAACTAACTGAAATTAACGGAGAAGATAACATTTAACAGAAAAGTTAACGGATAATCATATAATTAAGGATAAATTAGTAAATCTGAAGGAAAATTTAAAATCTGACCAATCTGAGTTATTCATTTGATTAAAAAAGTTGACCGTCAAATACAAATATATATATATATATATATATATATATATATATATATATATATATATATATATATATATATATATATATATATATATATATATATATATATATATATATATATATATATATATATATATATATATATATATATATATATATATATGGGAAAATTGTAATTGACATATTTGTGAGGGGCATAAATTACAATTTTCCCTATATATATTTACAATAGAGCCAAAAAAGTGTAGCCTTGCATTATGTGATCTCGATGGCAAGCCATTTGTTGTTGCAAAGGGTACGGTTTACGCAACTACAAATGAGATAACAAAAGTGCATAATGAGCCACTATTACTTAATCATGTCAAATTCATGGTTGATGAAGTGGTACATGGTGCCGAGGGATCAAATGTAATCTATCCGTGCCAAACCGTGCCAAATTTGCAGTATAAGACTTTGGGAGATATTGCTTGTAGTCGCGCACAATGGGCTACTCATTTAGTTATTTTAGATGAGGTATGCATTCTTATATTAGTTATTAATTAAGTTAAATATCGTTGTCATTCAAAAAAAAAAAAAAGAAGTTAAATATCGTTGTTTATATTTTAAATGTTAGTATAATTACAATTTTATATTGGTAGAAAAATGTCAAAATAAGTTCACCAAGACAAAATAAGCAAATGACAGATCAAAGTGCAGAGTTATCTGCTATTGCTACACGAGCCCCAATTGTTGGTGAAAATGTCTTTTTGCTTTTGGGAACATACTGCAAGCGGCTTGTCAAAGCATTGACATCTTTTCCTGTTGATAAAGAGTACATTGTTGAATATAGATCAGACAGTCTTCTATCATGCACACTTGAATGGTGTTTATGTGATGGTAGTGGATATATAGGATTTGTTGACTATAAATCGGCTCGATATCTTGATTATACAAGTGTTTATGATGTAAGTTTCAAATTGTTCATGTGTTTTATATAGATTTGTTTTTTATGTTTATTGAAATTAAATTTTTTTATTTGTTATTTTTCAGGTTTTTGAATAAACTATGTAAGTAGCTTGGAGTGACATCTATCGGGTTTACGTGTCTAACACAAATTTCAGCAGATATGGTTAACTTAAATTGTTCTACCGTTACATCATATCTTATTCATGTCATGGACGAACACAAGGATCAACAATTCATTTTGGCACCGTATCACCAAGAGTAAGTCTTTTAGTTTACTAATTTATATAACTTAATAACTTTATATGTGTTTTGTAAATGTAGTAATCATTGGTTACTGATCGCGATTTGCACACCTTTAAAAACGGTGTATGTGTTTAATCCTATGAAAAGTGGGCGCACCCTTGATGTTAAAACTTTTGTGAATATGTTAGTAAAAACCTTATTATTAATATATGTATTTTAAATGTTATTATGTTATTTATAAATTAATATAAATGTTTATTATTAATATAGGACATTTTGATCTGTTCCTACAAATGGACGAGGAACTAGAACTGTATAGAAAAATTATGAATCTACTGTATTTAAATTATGAATCTACGGTTTAGAAATTATGAATCTACAGTATAGATTTTATGAATCTACAGTATAGAAATTATAAATTTACAGTATAGAAATTATGAATTTAGATCCGTGTGCACCATGCATGGTGCACACGGTTGCACAGCATAACAATCCAATTATAATCATAATACTTAAATTGGTATATTCTTGTAGACATTTTATCAAGCACCTAGGCAAAAATAAATCTATACACAAGTGGTTTAACAGGAGAAAAAGAAATTCACAAATAGATAATAGATATTCTTGAAAAGAAAACATTAAGACATACCATATTGATGTAGCAAAAATGAGTGATGGTAAGTGTACGGGTGTGAAATGTCGTCCTGGGATTGGGGGTTATGGCACGCAATATGCAATCACAATAAACTAGGCACTAGCACAAGGAAATCAACAAGAAGCTAAGCAAATTACAAGTTTAAGGAAATGGTAAGACTAACACATATACTCAAAGATAAACACAAAATAAAGCAATATATATAAGACTCAAGCTAAGGAGCATTATCATCTAGATACTTCAACAACCTAAGGGATTAGGGAGAACAAATAACCAAGGAATCAAGAGGGAATGCACGTAGGAATCCTAATCTGCGAATTAGTGTCGTGATTAATAAACAAGGATTAGAACAATAAATTGCCCCACTCTCGTGACGTATCAATTCCAAGTCCATCAAGCACACAAAGCATCTAAAGCCCTCAATTCCCCCCATTTTCATAGGAAAAATCGGGTTTATGCAAAGGGTGGCTAAAATCCTTAACCCAATTCTCATTGTAGCCAAGAATTCTTCAAAAGCATGCTAATGAATGTGTACATCAAACATTAACAACATACAAACACAAATCATTCATAAACTCAAGAACCCTAGGTTAGTGTTTTTCCCCCTCTTTGCAATAATCACAAATTGAGCATCAAGAAAGATAATACAACCCTAACTCAAGTCCGTAAACTAACTACACATGATTAAATATCATAAAGAACAGAAAAACATAAATATAAAGCATAAACATTGCAAAAGAGCTTTAAAAGAAGAATAAGAAATCTATTGAAGATGAAGAATATATGGTTCAAAGTGTTGTGTAAAATAGGTGCGATGAATACCTGGAATGGATATTTGCGACGTGTTGTTGCTTCGGGACAGAAAACCAGCAGCGTTCTGTGTCGTGTTTGGCAACACTATCTTAAAGATATTTAACGACAGGGTATCGTTATATCTCCGACAGATAACACAGACGGAAGAAATAGCTTAAATGAACGCAGGGTGGTGTGTTGTGAAATATGGCTATATTGCCGTGTGTTTGTAATGAAGGGGTTATTGCTATTTATAGCAACTTTCCTTTTCTTACAACCAATGCCCAAAATTAGGCAATGCATGGCCCTCATTAATAAAACCAATCCTGACCACAACATATATTACGCAAGAGGTGCTGGCCACTTGTGCTGTTCGAATATATGTTGTGTTGATCCATAAAAATAGGAAAAGAAGACCAAGCAATAAAACTAAGCCATATCCCACACGTGCCGAGCGGCGTGCGAGGTTTTTCCCTTGTTCACTCTCCATAACACTTCAAGCCTTCTTTAGGGAGTTCAAATATATAAAGGAAGGAAAGCAAAGCTAGCAAAGCAATGTGGGACATTCAATTTAAGTAAAAGACTATTAAATGAGTTCCCACTTGGAGCCTTGTCTTGCCTTTGAATGTTTCCCAACAATCCCCCACACATTCGAAGGTGTAAGGCTTGACGGAGAACAGCTGAGCTTAACAAATAAGAGCTAACTTTCATGTCAGTGTGTTAAACTTGAACTGACAAGTAGTGGCACCAAGTAATCCACTATCCGAGAGTGAGCAGAATCTTGAACTCTTCGGCTAATTGAATTTTGAACTTATGTGCACCTCGTTAGCTCCACTTGTTGTACACTTCGTATAGTTATTGGATAACCAAGTATAAGCCCTGTTTTGTCTGTCTCAGCACAGACATTCCACTCCACCGAGTGTACTCTACCGTTGACTGCCAACGGCGTGCGGACTGATTTACAGTCTGCTTATAAATGCGAGTCTTTCCATGATTTCGTTTGACCACCGAGGTGGTGTCCATCATGAATTTCTCACCTCATTGGCTTTTAAGCCCATTTCCCTTGATGTATCAAGGATAGCCTTTCAATTTAGGCCTTTCGTGAAAGGATCAGCTATATTCCTTTCAGATCTCACAAACTCCATTGTGATTACCCCATTCAATATTAACTGCCGTACAGACTCATGTCTGACTCTAATGTGTCTTCTCTTTCCATTGTAGACACTATTTTGTGCCACACAAATAGCAGTTTGAGAATCACAATGAATGGGTACGGCGGGAGCAGGACTCCCCCACAGCGGCACGTCTGCCAACAGATTTCTTAGCCATTCGGCCTCTTGGCTAGCCAGATCTAAAGCTATGAACTCTGCTTCCATAGTTGATCTGGCTATGCACGATTGTTTGGTTGATTTCCAAGACACTGCAGCTCCACATAGTGTGAACACATATCCACTTGTAGAGCTGACATCATCACTGTCGTTTACCCAGTTCGCATCACAGAACCCTTCTAGCACAGCTGGGTATCCTTTGAAGTTGAGACCCCAGTCTAACGTGCCTCTAAGATACCGGAGTATCCTTTTTAGTGCGTCCCAGTGTGGACCACTTGGGTTATGAGTGAAACGACTAAGTTTATTCACGGCAAATGCAATGTCGGGTCGGGTATAGTTCATCAAGAACATTAGACTCCCAATTACTTTTGCATATTTCTCTTGAAACACACCTGACTCCATGTTCTTCAGTAGTTTGACACTAGGATCGTAAGGAGTCTTGGCCGGGACAACATCAAAATTGTCAAACTTCCTCAGAAGTTTTTCTGTGTAGTGACCTTGGGATAGAAGGTAACCTGTATTGGTTTTTGTGACTTTTATCCCGAGTATCACATCGGCTTCTCCTAGATCCTTCATTTCAAACTTTTGACATAGAGTTCGTTTGGTTTCATTTATAGCCTCAATACTTGAGCTAAAAATTAACATGTCATCCACATAGAGACATATTATTACAATGCTGGATTGGACCTCTTTTGAGTACAAACAGGCATCTGACCGGTTAGTCGTGTAGCCTAGGTCCATTAAGGTCTTGTGAAATTTTTCATTCCACTGCTTGGGGGCCTGTTTTAGGCCATAAAGAGATCTTTTTAATTTACATACCTTTCCTTCTTGCCCTGGATCGACACAACCAGGTGGTTGTTCCATGTAGATCTCTTCTTCTAATTCACCATTGAGGAATGCAGTTTTTACGTCCATTTGGTGAACTATCCAGTTGTGTAAAGAAGCCAATGCAAATAGAACTCGAATGGTTCCCACTTTTGTCACTGGTGAGTATGTGTAAAAATAATCCTCACCGAATCTTTGTGTAAAGCCTTTGGCTACTAGCCTGGCTTTGAATCTTTCAATAGACCCATCTGGTCTAAGTTTTCTTTTGAAGATCCATTTGCAGCCAATTGGCTTGCACCCTTTGGGTAGTTCTACCAACTCCCAGGTGTGGTTGGACTGAATAGAGTCCAATTCACTTTTGATTGCTTCTTTCCACAAAATGGAGTCGACTGACTGCATTGCTTCTTTAAATGTTTTTGGTTCTTCTTCCAATACTAATTGACACACAAACTGATCACAGAGTTCGTTTAAATCTTTCAGTTCTGTGACATATGTTATGAAGTCAGAACCAAAATTCTTTTCTATCCTGGGTCTTTTGCTTCTTCTGGGCTCATCCAAATCGTTAGTAATGCGAGGAAAATTGGCATTATCATTTTGACACAGAGTATCAACTGGTGAGACATAAGCATTTTTTAAAGGAAAGATATGTTCAAAGAATATTGCATTTCTTGATTCACACATAGAACGGTTTTCTAGACACATAAACCTATATGCTGCACTATTCTCGGCATATCCAACAAAAATAGCATCAAAGGTTTTGGGTCCTATGTTGGACCTTTTCAGGGATGGTAGACCCACCTTAGCCAAGCATCCCCACACCTTAAAGTGTTTCAGGTTCGGGGCGTGCCCTTTCCACATCTCATAAGGGGTTTTCTCGAACCCTTTATGTGGGACTCTATTTAAAATGTGGTTCGCCGTTAGAACAGCTTCCCCCCACATAGAGTCTGGTGCCCCAGAACTGATCAACATTGCGTTAATCATATCTTTAAGGGTTCTATTTTTCCTTTCAGCGATGCCATTTTGTTGGGGAGAGTAAGGTGCGGTTACTTCATGGATTATACCCGAAGTTTCACATAAGGTTTTTAGTCATACTCTCCACCTCTGTCAGAACGAAGCCTCTTTATTTTCAAGTTTAACTGATTTTCTACCTCAGTTTTAAAAATCACAAATTTGTGTTCAGCTTCATCTTTTGTTCTCAAGAGGTATAGTTTTGTAAAACGAGAATAGTCATCTATAAAGTTATATAATACCGTTTTCCACCTTTACTTTCAGTGGTTTTAAAATCCGCTAGATCAGAGTGAATCAATTCAAGTATAGATGAAGTTCTATGAGTTACCGCAGAAAATGGCTTCCTAGCAAATTTTGCTTCAGCACAAGTTTCACATTGGGAGCATGCATCATTAGACAAGTTTGGCAACATATTCAGGCTTTTTAATCTATTTAAGCACTTTGAGCCAACATGTCCTAATCTACCATGCCACAAATTAACTGAAACAGTAATATAAGCCGAAGGGGAAGCATTATTCTTATTGATAGATTCTGGTCCAATTACAGATATGTCTAACACAAATAATCCCCCCCGTAGATACCCTTTTCCGAGAAAAGTCCCACAGCGAGTCATAACCAATCGGTCTGACTCAAGGACAATTTTGATCCCGGCCTTATTAAGTAGGCCCCCGGAAATTAAGTTTCTACGCAGAGAGGGAACAT